CTCTGTATAACATCTCCAGAACCTGCAGTTTAAAATGCATGAAGCAGGTCAGTGTCATTACACTGCTAGTGAGCGACGAGCGAAACTACACCGCTCGCAGTAACAGCCTCCATTGATCAACGAGTCGAGCGCGGCGTAGTCTGCTTTTGTCGCGTCGCGTCGCTCGCTCGCAGGGTAGATGGGTGTTGTGGGTGTGTTCATTCCCTGCATTCAGTGCGACGTTTCTTCTCTCTAACAGTTTAAGATGGCGACCGTGCATCTAAGGATCGGGGATCTGGTTTGGTAAGATAGCAATTTTTTACTTTATTCGATTTAATTTCACGTCGAGGTTAAGTTCTCTTTCGTGCACGTGCAAGGCATTTTGTCGTGGCTGCAATAAAATGTTTTGTTAAAAATCTAACATATGGCCCAGTTTATGTGTCGTCAAGCCAAACGCTGAGCAGCAGGCTTGAGAGCGCTTAGCATACAAGCTAACGATTACTTCATATGCTTTTTGAGGAAAACCTGCGATGTTAGTGTGTTTAACACTAAAAGAGTGTTTCATCTTAAGTTTAGGTGAGTAATTATATAAACAATGAATTTAATACAAGTTTCGGGGCAGTTAGCTGATGGGGTCGAAACGGGTTTTGCTATACACTACGTTAGCTTGTTTCGAGGCACGATAAATTTTAGTTAATAAACGCTCAATCGTGTCACGTTTTATTTAAAATACTAACTTATCGTCTCTATATATGTTTCAGGGGTAAGCTTGGACGCTATCCACCTTGGCCAGGCAAGGTAAGATCTTTTCATGTAACGTAAACGGTTGAGTTGAACTTCTGTTGTTTTTGTGAGGTCAGCTGTTGGCTCTTGCATATAGAGGTCGAAATTGTATTCAAAACCTAGTGAGCTAGCTATCTAGAAAGCGTTTTTGGTTGCTTTCGATCAAACCAAAGCAAGAATGCTTCAAATTAAACGTTAAAACCAGTCCAAAAAAGTTCTCTGTGTAGACAGTTGAGTTTCAGAGACAGCTACTGTATCAGCAGACTAATTTGCATAATGTGTTGGTTTGTCACATTTACTGACCCCTAACTACTGTGTTTTCAGATCGTCAGTCCTCCGAAGGATCTGAAAAAGCCAAGAGGCAAAAAATGTTTCTTTGTCAAGTTTTTTGGAACTGAAGATCAGTGAGTACAGACAAGATCTTAGTCTTTTACCATCACTTCCTCTTGTTTGCATAGGATTTGAGAGTTTAAACCAAACAGATTTTGACTTTAGATATGCGTTGCCCTTTTAGCGCTTGGATAAAGGTAGAGCAGCTGAAGCCTTACCACCCCCACAAAGAGGAGATGATCAAGATAAACAAAGGCAAGCGCTTCCAACAGGCTGTTGATGCAGTTGAGGAGTACCTAAAGAAGGCCAAGGGGAAAGATCAGGTTAGTATCTTGTTTCCACCTTGGCTTTTCCATGATCTGATCGCAAGTGGTCAGCTGAGACATTTTGTGGCTGGTATTAAACTGTATCTTGAATGCGTCTTCCCCTTATTTTGTCACACTGTACAAGTACAAAATGACCTTGTGTCATGCGGATTATGAGCAATCGGACAATGACCTAAAGTATAAAGAAAGCAGGTGTAACTTTTTTTGACCGTAACTTGTATGCTTTTGTACAACACAGCAAAGTTTAAACTGCTTGTTTTGGTGCACCTTCTCGCAAGATGTCCTACAGTGATTACGTATCAGGCCAGTAGGTGATATTTTGCGACTGTTCAAACGTATTCGATCACATGAGCGCCTACACTACAAAAACAGTCTGCTTCAATGTGTGGAATGTGAACAAGCTCAAAATGTTTTATACACAATTTACACCTGTATTTAGCACTGTCCGCTTCTAATCAGATTGACGAAAATGCATGTAATAATACCAGCTGTAAAACGCCTAAAAGAACCACGTGGTCTGTTTTTGTTGTTAAAGGGATAGTTCACTCAATGAAAAATTATATACGTGTGTGTGAATTATATATATAATTTGCCTGAAGTGATTCCAAACCTGTATGACTTTCTTTTGTGTCACAAAAGTTGATATATTAAGAAATGTCTGATTGTTTTGTTTGCTTGCCAAGTAGTCTTACAGGTTTGGAATCACGAGAGAAATTGTAATTTTTTAGTGAAATATGTCTCTTGGGTGAAAGGCCCTAGTTACACCTGTTATCAAGATGTGGTCAGGCAAGACAAATCCCTCTTTACGGCTGATTGTAACGTGCATTTATGTTTCCTGTCACCACTTGTGATCAGATTGTAAAGATCGGACGTACATTGCTCACAATGCCAGTGTTGAACTTTTCATAAAGCATATCACAGTCAGTTTCCACATATGTTAAGTTTAATCTCACTGTAAGCAGGATATTTTGAGACGAATGTTTGTCAGACATTTTTTATTGGATGGTAAATTCCATATAAAGCTCTGGGCTGTTTTTTTATGTTGCCACTTATTATTGACACCCAGAATGCATTGGTACCAGGTACAAACATGTTCTTCGAAATTCACCAGGTAGTATTTCAGAAATAATTCCTCATGTTGTGTAAACTTTATTTTACAGACACACTCTGATGACAAAAGCAAGTCAGATAAAGGCCGTAAAGCAGCTAAACCAATGAAGATCATTGAAGAAGATGATGAAGATGCCTTCAAGGGTGGCTCGTCGGACAAGGTTTTACGATATTGCTTTACCATTGTGGAGGGGAAAGGCTAGGTCATAACCCAACATGTTTTTTTGTCAGCTTCATCAAAGTCCTTTGCTAAGGCCATCTGCTGTTGTACCTGCTGTGGAGTCAGGTTACAATTGTATGTTTTGGAGGTGGATTTGTCAAGTGCGACCCACCCCATTCATTGAGACTGATGTCATCTTTTGCAGTGTGACCAGTACCATATTTTGACTGGGTCGAGATGCAGCTATTTTAGGGCTTTGTTTCATGAGATCAAGCCATTCTGTACACATGGTGAATGTGTCTCTCTTTCCCTTAAGGAACAGACTGATTCTGACCCAGAGCCATCCTCTGTACGACGGCTGGTCGCTGGAACAGTATCAGGATTCAAATGGGAGAGCAGTGTAGGTTACATTCACAGTTTGCTTCTGCACTTCTATGGGATCTGCACATATGCCTTTTTTTAGGTATCAGTAAGACTTACCCACAGGCTGATTTTGGTGCAGTTACAGCTGTGAATTTTCATAGCAGCTGCACGGCTGGTGTGAAAACACCTCACTTTCAAAATGCAAGTCACTATGTCCTTCACTATATAGTTGCACCTCTCACCATGTGGCTGTAATTAGTTGCAGATGAAATAACTATCAGGTCAGTAAGTCTCTTTGGAGAATAGTTTCCAATTTAACTCTCTTGCATTATAGCCAATAAAGGATGACCCACATTTTCATCACTTTCTGCTCAGCCAGTCTGNCTGCTCAGCCAGTCTGAGAAGGTAAGGAGACTTTTTGCTGGGATGTTGAATGATTTTCTAGTTAGTGTGACCTTACCCCTGTCTCTTGCACATTGCACACAATGGCTGCTCTAATAATTTCTGAATAATATCCTCCCCCAAACTGCTTCTGGCAATGCTAGTCGGCCGAATCTGCAGCATGGCAGTTGTACGGAGGTTTTTTTTTTTAACCTAACGGCACCGACAACGTCAAGCTTATTGGTTGATCCACTGAGACTCTGAGCGGACATGTACTCAACCTTGCAGTTTAAAAACTATATTTGGCTTTGGTTTTGTACAAGGTCTTTGTCTCGTCTGTGGTCAGGGTCCAAAATAAACATTTCTTATTTTCTTTTTTATTCAGAATTTCAAGTAGCTAATTATTTACACTACCATTTAAAAGTTTGAGATCAAGAAGATTTATTGTTTGAAAGAAATTAATCTAATCAGAACTGGCAGACATTTATAGTGTTAAAAAATATTTCCAAATAAATGCTTTTCTTTTGAACTTTCTGTTCAACAAAGAATCCTGAAAATAGTTACATGGTTATTAAATATTAAGCAGCAACAACTGTTTTCAACATTAACAATAAAAAAAAGTTTCCCAAGCTGCAAATCGCCATATTGGAATTATTTCTGAAGGATCATGTGACGCTGAAGACTGGAGTAATGATGCTGAAAATTCAGCTTTGCCATCACAGGAAGAAATTATACTTTAAGATATATTATAATCTTTTTTAAATTTTTTATTGTAATAATAATTCACAGTATTACTGTTCCTGTATTTTTGCACAGATAAATGCAGCCTTGGTGGGTATAAGAGACTTGAGAGACTCTTACTGAAATACATCTTACTGACATCTGAAAGGAAGTGTTCACAATATTTCAGAACATTTGACTTTTGGATAAAATAGACCGTTATGTCCATATGTATGCCTGTTAATACAAAGGAGTTGTTACCTGCAACCATTTTATCGAGTTTGTGTCAAGCTTGTGCTCAAAAAGTGGGGTGATAGACCACGGAAACAATACTGTCAGAAAGCAAAACTTTTATTTTATTAAAAATTTTTATGCCACAGCATTTGTGAGCATTTTTATAGAAAAATATTTAAAATAAATAGGCAGT